ACTAGTGTTTGCTGTTGACTTACAGTAAGTTCCTCTGTGAGCAGCGGCTCCTGGCTCCTCAGGAGGCTCATGGAGCGAGCAACGGGGAGGCTCCTCTCCCCGTCACAGTATTTTCCCATCAATGAAGTTTCACAGAGTCTGTGTGGAGAAAATATACAGAATTATCCTGAAGGAAAACTACACATTTTTTCCTGTTATCAGTGCAAACCCACTCTGGTGATTTTCTCCCACTGTGTCTGAGTCACTCATGCATCACCATGCTGGACAAACATCTGAGAGAAGATGCAAGTGGAAAAAGTTCTCCATGTTTACTTAAAGTACACTCTGATTGGCGTGGCCTCTTGTAAAAAAAAAAGTTAGGAGACGACAGATCCATTTCTCAGTCGGATGTTTGACAGATTCATTTGAAGCTCGACTTCATTTCTACGACTCCTCTGCCCTTAAACACATCTGTGGGCGGTTTTTCACTCTCACTAAACTTCATTTCCATAAAGCTCAGTTACAGGTGAGCAGAGACGTAACACATTTCTGTAAAGAGAAATCTGAAGATCTTGTGAAGTGTGTGGGGGAGGGACGAGGGTCTGAATCAAACCTGAGGTAGAAGACAGATTTGGTTGTACGCTCCTGGTAAACAAACATGTTTTTCCTGTTGACCACGCTGAAGGAGTTCAGCACTGAGCGCAGCGCCTGGATGGCTGTCAGAGAGAGATGAAAGTTTGTTTAGAATGTTTCCAAAAATAAAAATAAAAATTAAAAATAAAAATAAAATCACTAAAATAATTAACTACTACCAACAGTAACACAATTTCATTTCACTCTGAATCAAGACAGCAGCTACGGTTCAACACAGCAAGAAGAGATTAAGTCGACGTAAAGCCAGCAGTGGTTTTAATGTCCCGGGAAAATATATGCTCACCCCTCTCCCCCTCAGTTAAATTACCACTGTGTCAGTGGGAACAGTTTGATCCACAGACCGTGAAGCACTGTGGTGTGAAATAACTTACTTTAAATTAGAGTGATTCACTCACAGGTTATTCTTTCAACACAGAGGTTCCCAAAGTGGGGGGTGCTCCTTTAGAGAGTGTAGAGATAATGTGTGGGGCGGCGCAGGAGGGCAAATTATAGTTTTAATTTTTATTGTTTCAATTCTAAATTGAGTCAATTTGGCATCTGAAGACAAGTGTTTTAACTACAAACAAGGGGGCGCTGCAGGAAAGGTTCAGGAACTGTTGCTATTCTTTGTTATTTCTTTTCAGGGTCGCAGAAAGAACCAGAGACGAGCATTCACACTCACATTCACACTCACATTCACACTTATAGACAGTTTAGACTAAACAATTACACCAAAAACAGACCCAAATATTAAACCTATTACTGCATGTTTTTGAACTGTAGGGGGCGATGACTCCCACTCATCACAGTATCTCCACACAGGACAGGAAACTGTTGAACTTTGAGGGACTTTGAACACTGCATAATACGAAGTGTAAAAACTGATTCAGCAGAACTGTTTGTTAAACTGCTGCTCATCAACGTCAGTTCATAAAAAAACACTGTTTAAAAAGGGTCCTTCTTATATACAATACTCTGTTTGGACTGGATGTTTATTTTGTATATTCCAACCACTCCTTGTAAACTTGGATTTAGTTTTAGTTAAACACAACAAGAAGTAAACGGAGCATTTCATTTCTGCAAGGTTTCCTAAGTAAATGTTTTACAAGGCTGCTGTGATGAAAACAATAATCATTAAAAATCCAATGTTCCTTTCTTGAAAGTCTTACAACCAAATAGATTTTTATTTTCAGTAAAAATGGCGAACTTAGAAGAACAGATTAAAAAAACTAAAATGTCAGCACTTTGGAATAAAGTAAAGTAAAATTTATTACATGGAGTTTCTGCTTGAAAAAAAGTCTTCTGTGGAGGATTTTTCAGGTTTAAAGTATTTGGTCTGGAGCTAAACCCAGGATTTGTACTTTTTTTCCATTCATATTTCATTTTGAGTTCAGTTTGAGTTGAGTTTGAGTAAAAAAAATATTGGAAACATGTGTTCAGCCGGAGACACACCGACTTGGACTAATTTTAAATGTCCTGTTGTTGCCTATTAGTAAAAGAAGACAGTAACATGATAGATAGTCCAGACCTTCAAAAACATGAAGCTCTAGACCAGGGGTCACCAACTATATTGGTCGGATGGACAGATTCTTTTCTGGTCTGGACACTAAATGAAATAAAATAAAAACCAATATTTTTTCTGACATATTTTTGAATCCAGTAGTGGGCCAGATTGGGCCTGTGGGCCACCAGTTGATAATCACTGTTTTATATTATATTAATTAACCTGACACAGACAAGATGGAAGCATTTAGTGGATTGCAAGTTCATAGTTTTTGAACACACATTGCACTTTTTTTTCATTTTACTAAAAAAAGCATCACAGATGTGAAGAGAAACGAGTCTGGTACATTCTGCTTCACAGGCACTGTGTCTGAACCAGAGAAAAGTACCAGTACAGATGGCATGCGAGCGTCACATGCAACAACTTGTGTGTGTGTGTGTGTGTGTGTGTGTGTGCTTGATTATGTAAATCAATTCTGTATACCTTTCTTAAAAAAATAAAAAATAAAGTAAATAAAATCAGAAATATACTGCGCTTCCACAGCCTCTTCAAATATAAATACCTACAGGCTGCTAACTTTATTTGGGGGAAAAGTTTCTGCAGTACCCTCTGTGCAGACTCTGTTCACTTTAAAACTTTCATAAACCGGCATTGACCCACCTCTGGGCACGCCCATGTTGGGCCCGATCTTGAGTCGTGGGTGAATGTGGATAATTGTGCTCCACACCGCGTCACAGGCGAAGTGTCCTGGTATGAATTGCATGGTGGCAGCCAGGTAGTCTCTGGCCTGGTAGCTCTCCTCTGTGCTGTAATCTGTGCAATCAGATATATATATATATATAAAACATAGTCACAAACACAGCTGCAAAGGGCGGAAAGTGTTTTTCCACCCAAATACTAAAATATTCATTTGCTCTGGTACACACAGAGATCCCCCCGCCGGGGGGCAAATAAATCCACCACACTCACCATCAGAGGTGTTGAGCCTCTGTCTGTACAGAGACTCGTTCTTCCAAATCTCTTCCTCGCTCTCAGCCACCAGCAGGGAGTTACACACATGGCTGTCATGGAGGTCCTGCAACAGCATACGCTACACACACACACAGAGGAAAAACATAAGAACAAAGAGGTGCAACATACTACTATTCTAAGCATCAGTTCAAAGTTCAAATCTAAAGTTGTTTTAAGAAGGCGTGATTTTTTATTTTAATTTTTATATGAATCCTTAGGTCAGGTCTCTCAGGCGTCGCCAGCAGCTTTGACAGGTTTTTATTGTTATACCTTTGTCAGGGGTTGGTCTGTCTTACAGTTTTTCGAATCACAGTAATGCAGTACTGTAGGAGAGTCACCTGGTTGACGACCCTGCAGATTTCACCGATCTTCCTGACCATTCTCTGGTGCAGCTGTAAATATTCAGGCAGATCCTGATCTTCCTCCTTTTTCTCCAACTCCTCTGTGCCGACGTCTTCTTCTTTAGTGAAGGATCTGTGAAATATTTGACACGACAAATACAATCAACATCTCCAGTCCAACAAACCACCTGACGATCAGCTCCAGGAGAATTACTGTATAATTCTGAGTGACTTTTCTATTGCAGTATCAATAATTATTCTAGAAAAAAACAACTGGAGGAGATGATGCAGTTGTTGTTAAAAAAACAACAATTACAATAAAAGTAATAATTTGCAACACTAACTGCTGCCCTTTCTTTAGACTCAAAAATAAAATAACAAAATGAAAAAACACAACCAGAAATATTTGACCTGACTGGGACAAAATGTGTAAATTAAAGCCACACTAAAACTAATTTATTCTGTTTTTGTATTTAACAGTTTTGTTGGTTTAAATGTTTTCTTTTTTTATGATTATTCATGTGATGGGAGTCAGGATTTTTAAATATTTGCTCAAAAGATTAATTTTTCTGTTTATTTATCTAATATATATTTATTATTATTATTATTATTATGTAAGTATTTTATGGATGTCTGTTGCTGTTGGTTGTTGGCGGGGGAGGGGGTCTTCTAACTCCTAACTTTATGGTCTATTGAAGGGGTGAGTCCTGGTGAGAGCAGTCACTGAAGCAGAAACCTAAAAGTGATGGTTTGACCTCAGACCAATAAAAACAGCCGTCAGCAGAGTGACTTCACCTGCAGTGAGAGAAGACCTTCACTCTGTCCTGGTGGATTTTAATGATGATCCAGAAATCTGGCATCAGTGGAGACTGACACTCATGTTCATCCAGAGTGGGGCTCTCACACTCTGAGTCGCTGCTGCCGCCATCGTAGCCTTCAAACACATAAGGAAAACAGTGTACACACAGGTCTGATTTGGAAACAAAAACAGTGACTGATGAAAACTCTGTTAGAACTTTTTTTAATTAAGTAACGGCACTTTAGCAGAATGCTATTTAGTCTAAGAGGAAGGAAGGAAGGAAGGATGAACAGGAAGACAAGGAAGAAGGTCTATGAAGGTGGAAGGAAGGAAGCAGTAAGGTAGAGAAAAAAGACAGAAGGTAGTAGAAAGAAGGAATGAATGAGTGAATGAAGGATGGGATTTGAACCAGCAGTCTTTCCATCAGTATCCTATTCCTGTATGCTGTCAGGACAGAGACAAAACTTACCCTGCATGTCTGAGTCCAGGCTGCCCTGACTGGAGACCACACTCTGGACTCGACTGGGGCGGAGCTTTCCACAACCTCAGGAAACACATCAGAAATATCAGGGTCAAATGAGAGAAGAAAGCATTTTGGTGTGTCTTCATTATTATTAATCATTAATTATTATTAAATTAGTCATCTTCCACACATAGTCAAATACGGAAAAATCCGTGTTTTCATGTTTTGGCTCACTGTGAGACGCTGAGAGTGTGGACTCGGCCAGACTGACACTGGACGGGGTCTTAGGAGGAGTTTTCTGCTCCGTGTCTGGACCACTCTGGACCTGGGAGACACCAGCCTGACCCCGGTCTCCAACCAAACTTGAATCAAATAGCTCATCTGCTTCAGACCTTAGAGCTCTGGGTGTCTCAGAGTTGTCTGTGGCTGTGACACTGGCAGCTGCAGGAGGAGCAGGGGGAGCAGCACCACTGATGGACCTTTTGTCTTCATACTGAAGTTAACAGGAGAGAATGACATGAACAACAGTGTAGGACTAGGAAGATTTCTGAAAAAGGACCTTAAAAACTCGAAAAAAGATTTCTTTCAGAGAATAGACTGTAAAATTATCAGCTTTAAGTAAATCATTCTGAATGAAGCTGCAAGGGAAATAAAATGGAAAAATGCCAAAAAGACAAATATCTTTATCACTGGCTTTTTTTCTGACCTCCATGTCTGCCTCCACAGCCTGAGCCTCTGCTTCATTCTCCAGCGTCACATCCTCCACCCGACTGCAGGTGGAGACGTTAGTGGCAGCCTCTGCCACGCTCTCAGAGAGCCTCTTTGCGGCCTGGATCCTCTGTGGGTGCAGCCTGCTGAGGGACATGTAGAAGAAGTTGTCCTGCTGAGCGTTCAGGACGTAGCCAGACAGGGAGGTCCTGCGGAACTCCTGCAGGATCAGACAGGAGGAGGCAGGAGAAGAACGTCAAATACGACCCTGTCTTTTTTTTTTTATCCTTGTTTTGATACAGAAGGTTTTGTTTTTTTTTAATTACATTAACTTTAATCTTAAGCCTGTGTATCTGTGTGTGTGTGTGTGTTTGCCTCTTTGAACTTCTCCAGCGACAGCTCAGGACCAAAGACAAACTGCAGTGGAACGTCTTCACAGTGACAGTGCGGTCGACCACTGGAGCGTAACACGTGCTCTGCCACTTTCTGCAGCGTGACGGAGCTGATGAGGCGGGAGTGACGCAGGGCTGAGATGATCTCGTCCTCCAGCAGCCAGCGGATCTAAATCATCCACACACACAGACACACACACACACACACACACACACACAAATACACACCTTTAATGCGTAACAAAACAGCCGAGCTCATTGGACGACAACAGCCGAAGGGTTGGACTCACCTCATCCATCGTGGCCAGGATGGCAAACTTGTGAGGGTGGGGGAGTTTGGACAAAGGATCACCAGAGACTCTGAAGAAAGACAGATGGAAACTTCATGTCAGAAAATCCAGTTCACAAATTTCTTTGTATAAATCTTGGGTGTGAGAAGAACCCACCCATTGACTCCAGCGCCCCTCAGACTGCCCAGCACTGCCATCATCTCCTCATCAGAGCGATAAGACGACGGCTGTCCAGGAGATCGGTTCAACGACACACTGCTCTCTGAGGTGTATCTGCAAACAAAGACCCACGGTTACAGCACTCAGATGTTTTATTAATCAACCTATGATTTAAGTATGCTCTAATAAAAAGTAATTAAAAATCTTATTCTGAATCCATCCTTTGTAACACAGGTCTCTGGGGACAGGTACAATTTGTGGTTGATTTTTTCTTTTAATATAGCTACAAAATAAAGTCAGTTTGCCTCTGTTTTTTACAGGGATTTAAATGTGTTAACACTTCAGTTTAAGTTCCAACTTTTGTTTTACAAAATCCAAATTGTAGTAAAATTAAATCAGTGATGATCAACAGACGGCCAGGGGACCAGATTTAGCATGACAAACCGTCCATTTTTGGCCTGTGAATGGATTTAAAAAAAACATCAAATAACAATTTTAGTAAAAAAATGTGACTTCTATTTCATTACATTCGAGTGTCCAGCCTCCAAAGCGTGAGAGGAGAGAGAACAGAACACCGCAGCCTGTTATGAAGCCACTCACCTGTCGTGATGGTAATCAGCCATGACTTCAATCTCCAGCGGCAACGTCAGAACAAAAATATCTAAGGTGACTGAGAGCTCATTCAAATCCACTGAGTCCAAATCCTCAGTGTTCTCCAGACAGGAAATGATCTCCCCTGAAAACACGGAACGACAGTGAGCAGCGACAGGACCAAATCCAGGTTTTCAACCAATACCAATGATCTCACACTTTCTTCCACAGTAAATGAAAACTAGAAAAAAAAATATTAATGCGTAACAAAACAGCCGAGCTCATTGGACGACAACAGCCGAAGGGTTGGACTCACCTCATCCATCGTGGCCAGGATGGCAAACTTGTGAGGGTGGGGGAGTTTGGACAAAGGATCACCAGAGACTCTGAAGAAAGACAGATGGAAACTTCATGTCAGAAAATCCAGTTCACAAATTTCTTTGTATAAATCTTGGGTGTGAGAAGAACCCACCCATTGACTCCAGCGCCCCTCAGACTGCCCAGCACTGCCATCATCTCCTCATCAGAGCGATAAGACGACGGCTGTCCAGGAGATCGGTTCAACGACACACTGCTCTCTGAGGTGTATCTGCAAACAAAGACCCACGGTTACAGCACTCAGATGTTTTATTAATCAACCTATGATTTAAGTATGCTCTAATAAAAAGTAATTAAAAATCTTATTCTGAATCCATCCTTTGTAACACAGGTCTCTGGGGACAGGTACAATTTGTGGTTGATTTTTTCTTTTAATATAGCTACAAAATAAAGTCAGTTTGCCTCTGTTTTTTACAGGGATTTAAATGTGTTAACACTTCAGTTTAAGTTCCAACTTTTGTTTTACAAAATCCAAATTGTAGTAAAATTAAATCAGTGATGATCAACAGACGGCCAGGGGACCAGATTTAGCATGACAAACCGTCCATTTTTGGCCTGTGAATGGATTTAAAAAAAACATCAAATAACAATTTTAGTAAAAAAATGTGACTTCTATTTCATTACATTCGAGTGTCCAGCCTCCAAAGCGTGAGAGGAGAGAGAACAGAACACCGCAGCCTGTTATGAAGCCACTCACCTGTCGTGATGGTAATCAGCCATGACTTCAATCTCCAGCGGCAACGTCAGAACAAAAATATCTAAGGTGACTGAGAGCTCATTCAAATCCACTGAGTCCAAATCCTCAGTGTTCTCCAGACAGGAAATGATCTCCCCTGAAAACACGGAACGACAGTGAGCAGCGACAGGACCAAATCCAGGTTTTCAACCAATACCAATGATCTCACACTTTCTTCCACAGTAAATGAAAACTAGAAAAAAAAATATCTCTGGCAAAAAAGGAAAAAATAAACTTGTCTGTTATATATTATTTTACTTACTGTGGCAGTTGGTTTTCCTGCTGTTACTTCAATGTTATTTTTCTCCTAATGTATTTGTACAAGGGCGGGGCAGTTTAATGTGCTGTTGTTATTGTTTGAACGCAATTAACTCTGACTATTATTTCATCCCTCATTAATGCAGTAGAGAGAGAAATCAAATATACATTCATTTTATTTCTCATCCAGATGGTGGCGTTCACAAACCAAAGGTATTTTTAACCACTTCAAGGCCGACCTGTCTTTTCATAAGAAATACTTCAATGGCTTCAATCGTGCACACACATACAGATGCCAGCAAATTACCGTTAGAAGTACGTTTTTACTGCACTTCTCTTCCTATACCACAGCAGTTACCAAAGTAAGGGGTACAGCCCTGTAGGGGTGCAGACTTGTACATTAAGGGCCCAGCAAGGCAGCTAAATATCACTTACTTTGTTCAATTCTACTGTAGGTGAAAGGAATCAAACAGTTTTAAAAGGTGTACAGTGTAGTTTTGAAGCATTAGCTGTGAATGTGCCAGCGTTTAAATGGCACATCCCCAGAACTCACCAAGGCAGGTGGGCAGCGTCTGTATGGGCATGGAGCCGTGGCTGATCTTCATGTTTACTGAACACGTGATGTGTACAAACAGAGGGGGCATGTCCAGCTCCGGGCCCTCGTGCTGCAGCGGCGAGTCTCCGTCCAGGATGCTGAAGGAGTCTTGGTCCTGGTTGACAGTGTTGGAGTCTGACAGAGACTGGTCGTCACCCTCTCCAGGGCAGGAATGGTCAAGATGCTCCTCGTACTCCACCGACAAGTCTGTGTCGCTCTCTGTGGCAGAGCCGCCAGGAATGATTTCTGGAAACAGGCAGTAGAAAGATGATTAAACTCCGGCTGTATATACTGTGTCAATACAAGTAGAGGTACAAATGATAATATAATAATTACAAGCTTTATTACCTATCTGCTTTTTTTAATAAATGCAAAAGAAATTGTTAAAAATGTAGAAAAATATTTTTTTGTGTCATTCTTAATATTCCAGTAAAACCAGCATCAAGTCATTGAGGTATAAATGTGAGAGAAGCAATAAAATGTTCAACCCTTTTAACACCATTAAAATTAATGCAACATGACCTCAAGTTTTATTCCAACTCAAACAGACTTGAAAATGCGACTGGACTTTATTGAGCTAATATTCCAGCCCATAATAATACTGGCTGACTAAACAGTTCCTCAGGCCAGACCTCAGCAGTTATTTGATCTTTAAAGCAAAGGTTTGGAGTGAAAAAAAAAACCTTTCACCCAAAGTAATGTGAATGCTCAGCAACATTTCAACAGCTTCTTTTATAAAATAATAATCAAATGAATGCTCTAGAATACTCAACGGCTACTTTTGAGCGCCACCTACCGTCCTCTGTCGCCTGCTCTGCTTCTGATACCTCTGAGACCTCACTGGGTCTCCTGCCTGTCTCACCATCCTCCGAGTCCTCCTGAAGACAAAAAAAACAAAAAACTTTTCTACACTTTTTTGGAGAACCTAGAGAACATGGAGAAATCTCCATGGACTGGAGATCAGTGATCAGTACCGTTCAGTACCTCTGGACTCACCTCCTTCTTAGATGAAGGTGGACAGTAGAAAAAGTAGTGAGGATTTGAGGGCACAGCTTTGAAGTACTGGGAAAGTATTTCCATGAATTTATCCTGTTAAACAGATCAATGATTCACTTAAATGCAGCTCAGGAAACTCAATCAAACTCCTTAAATGAAGTAAAAAAACATATAATAAAAAATAATTCTTTGACTGAAAGGCTGTCACACCTGTATGATCCTGTGGAGCTCTGGATAAACCTCACATTTGGGCTGCGACTGAAGGAGAGATAGAGGGAATTCTAGGACCTTGGATGACTTGGATTCCACCAAAGCAGGCGACGACACCTGAGCAGGTGACTTCCTGATTGGCCCAGCTTCAGAGGTATCCGCAACTTCAACAAAGGAGTCCCTGAGAGCACGGGTGACAGATGGGGGGTCTCACATACGAGAAAACACTCCGTTGATCAGGTGACCTTACCTCCATACAGTCCAGTTCTCTTACCTAGATTGTAGTGACTCAGCAGCCCCATCATCTGGTTGCTCATCTTCCTCAGCCTCTCCGATGGAAAAAGTCGCAGTAGTCCTGGTGGGCTTTGGACATCCATGTTCCCTGAAGTGACGGATGTGTCCACAGAGAGTGTGCAGGAAGGACGTGACGTCGATCTCCTGCAGAGATTCCTCACAGTAGTCCATGGCTGTCAGCACGTCCTGAGAGCTGATGTTGTAGGACTGCTGCAGGCTGCGGTAAACACCTGACGGAGACAGAGATAAAAAGCTAACACTTATCTGTCTTATCTAGTGTTTTTCTTTATATATATTTTTATTAGGGATGTCCAATAATATCGGACAACTGATGTTATCAATTCTAATATTGGCTTAATATTAGAATAATTTGGTCAGACTTCTCTGACACCTTTTTGGGATGGGGGTTATTTGGAGAAGTTCACCTTTGACGTAGCTCTGGTGGTAATGCTCCTGCAGCAGGACGCAGTAGTTGGCCAGTTCCTTCTGTTTGTGAGGCTGAGCTGAGAGATCCGCCCAGGGAGACGGACAGCTACGGTCCTGGGACACCGACCTGACGTTGGACAATAGCAGAACCGAAGGGAGTGAATGAGGAGGTGGAAACTAACCTGTCTCACGACGGTCTAAACCCTGCTCACGTTCCCTGTTAGTGGATGAACAATCCAACGCTTGGTGAATTCTGCTTCACAACGATAGGAAGAGCCGACATCGAAGGATCAAAAAGCAGCAGAGTAGGTGAGATGGTGTCTTTGTTTCCCCAGATGTCCCAGAACATCTGACCTTTCATTTAAAGCAGTTAAGAAAGCTGCAGCCCAGATCCACCACTACAGTAAGAAAACCAAAGAAGCCAACAGGCCTGAACCTCCACAACATGTGTCTGAAGGGGAATCAATTAAAAGAAACAATGTTTCGCTTTTAGTCTTTAAAATAAAAGCTTCTCATGTTGTGCAGGTTTTCAGGTCAATTAAGTTCTGGAACAAATGGTGTTAAGGTCCTCAGACTTTCATTTTCACCAAAGACTCAGTAAACCAGCTTCTTTTCTGGGACAAAAACTAAACAGGAAGGCGTGTAAGGTTAAATGCCAGTGACGGAATTCAGTCTAATTAGAATTGGTAAAAAAAAAATTGAACAAGGACAAAGTGCTGAATCTAATTCAAATTGAATCAACAAAATATACTTTCATATTTCACCAATTAAAATTAAATTAAAACAGTTTAACCGACAAAATATACTTTCATATTTCACCAATTAAAATTAAATTAAAACAGTTTAACCGACTAGATTAGGACTAAGACTTTGATACTATTTAGTGAGCGGAAGAAGAGTAAATCAAAATTAACACCGGCATCGCAGTCAGAGCTGCAGCAAAGACAGCCATCAGCTCAGTCAAACAGTGCGTTTCAGCTTGTTCTTTAGAACGCCACAGACATCAGCAGCACATGACAATGTCAGTGGACAGACAGCGCAGCTTTCCTATCTCTGCACACTGTCGTGTCAACATCCATCCACCTCAAACCTTAGTGTGGAGCCAAACAGGACTGAAGGACAAGCACAAAGGCTGGAAAAAAAGTACCATTGGAAATGCAGTGTTAAGTGAAAGCCACATTTTCCCGATTACAGAGTGGACGAGCGCCCCCTGTGTTCACAGAGGTCACTGCAGCACATCAGCAGGGAGGAGAAGAGGAGCAGACAGCCAAAATCAAACACGTCTACCTGGGCTTCATCTGCTGACACAACTCCCACCAATCAGCGTCTTGAACTCTACAGTCACCCAAAGACAATCAGAGACACACACACACGTCAAGTGACCTGGAGCTACTTGTTGGACCATCAGATAAAAGATTTCTTTGGAATGTTCCCCAGATATTTAAAGAAATAAAATGCTGGGTCTTTAAAAGTAGCAAGTAAAGTAAAATTAGCAGTAAAAAAGTTCCTGCACTGTCCACTTGGTATTTTAATGTAGTTTCTGATCACTGAAGGAAATTACCCGTTCAGTTCCTGAATCTAAGAAGTTCTTCGATTCAATTACTGGTTTGGTTCTGTTATAAACCATGTTCCGGTCATTTGTGATAAGATCTTTAACTCCTTTTAAGTTTCCGTTATAAAAACACACTGTCACTGGAACAAAGTACTGGTACATGTTTCAACTGTAGAAGTACACATAGCTCTTTGTACTGCTCCTAACTTCTTTTTGCAGTGCAAATGCACATAGTACTGTTTGGGTATCTGCATCTCTGAAACTGCCTCTTGGAAATCCCTGCTGTAGATGTTTTTTTTTACCTCTCTTAGTAACTGCTGAAGTGTATTCAAAAACGGTTACATCAAGGGCAACTTTTTTTTTTTGAAGATCTTTCACCTCTAATCCAAGAGTCTTCTTAACTTGTATTTAATTGACACTGCCTTTTGTAAAGTTTAATTTTGTAATTAACATTTTGTTTAATTTCTTTAGTGACCCCTAAAGGTGAGCTGTGTACCTGAAGATGTCCCTGGGCTGGCGGCTGGAGTTCGGATGGACCAGCTGCTCCTTCAGATGCTCCAGAGAGCAGTTGTAGATGTAGACCGGACACTTCAAATGGCTGCTGTCCGTGGTGCTGTGCTGGGAAACCTGTCGGCCAAAACTGAAGTCTGCAGCCTGGGGCTCAGAGAACTGAACTTCTTTCTCTCCAACTTCTACAAAAATGTATTCACGTCACGTCATTGTATGCAAATACCATGACAAATACAGAAGAAACCTTGAAAATCTCTTTTTTTCACCCTATTTAGAAACTAACAGGACTGGACTGACCTGACAGAGGGGTGGCCGTGTCCGTCTCCGATGCCCTCTGGTCCAGACTGTCCTGGTCCAGCACCAGTGAGTCAGCAGACCAGGTGTGACTCTCAGATTGGGGTGAGACCACAGGAGACCTGCTAGGACAGTGATTCCTCTGCAGTTTACTGGCCAAACTGCACTCTGACCTCTCTGGACCACTGGTGGAACCAGATAAAGTGTCGACCTGAGACTTGTTGCTGGGAGTCAGAGTGTCTTCCTCCTGAATGCTGACGTTACTCTGAGGCTCCGTCTCCAGTCCTGTGGTCATTAACATCAGAACATCTGCAAAATATATCAAATATACACATTTAATTTTTCTGCTTGGTTCAATATTTTCTTGTTAAAAAAAAAGGTGATAAATGACAGTGTACCTGTAAAGGACGCTGGCAGGAAGGTGAGGAGGATCTGCTGAGGGCTGATGAATTTGGCGTAACATCTCCACTGTGGAACGGAGCAGCTGCTGTCTGTCAGCAGAGGCTCTTCATCCACGAGGTCTGCATTACTGAAACTCTGGAGAGGAAACAGAGGAGACACAACAGGAGGAATTAAAACATTCACTCCTTTCACAGATACAATTATCCAGTTTATAAATTATACTGTACAGAATCATCAACAAGACAAATACATTTTTTCTAACACATACATAGATCTAAACACATATAGATATATACACAAAAACATATATTTGTAAATATACAGTATATACATACATATATACACACGTATATTTACATATATATGTATATACATTTACATATATGTCAAATATAAAATTAATAATCAATATAACTTAACAAACGTTTCAGTGTAATTACCTGTAAAGTGCTGGTAGATCCCATCACATCTTTGCTGCTGCCAGTGGTATGGAATGAAGTCACGGTGTCCTGTCTCTCTGGGGTCTTAGTAAACTCCTCTGCGTAATAAAGTAGGCAGTAGTTGTAGTTGGTATTAGTCAGAGGACACGGCATAAGGATTTTAACAAATACTTTAGGAGGATTAAGACGCCGTGTTTAAAATCGGAGAACAGCTGAGGTGCCGTACACACCCTTACTCACCTTTGATGACGGGTAAGGAAAAAGGGGCGATGTTACCCTCCCGCTCCCGGGCTAAAATGTGGTGCATGAAGGCAGCATGGTCACGGTCAGCCAGAGGAATCTCTCTGTCACTGAGGTCCTGCTCCAGGCTGCTGTGGAAGAGGCTGAGCAGGAGCTCGTTGGTCAGACAGGGGGCGCTGTAAGTCTGTTCAGCAGTCTCCACACCTGGGGACAAAAAGTAGAAAAAAAAAAGTATAATTTATAATAATGATAATTTTGAAAATCACCCGAATCAACTGATCAACTGCTCTATACAATAGGCAATATGGAACGTAACTGAATAGAATTCAATAGAATTCAAAATAGATTGTGATTTGAGTAAAATACCTCTGAGTCAGGACGAGGATCATTGCTGGTGGCATAGTTACCTGAACTGAATGTAAGGAAGAGCAGCTCCACCTGCTGGCATTTGGGAAGAAGCTGAATGAGGTCAAACTGAAAAGGAATCATGTAAACGTTGTCCTCTGAAGCTAGGACGTCTCCTGAAAGACATTTAAAACATTTAGAGTTAAACAAGTAAAGTTGTATACAGTATATAACAGCACATATAATTATATGTTGTGTATTCCATACATACAGTATTTATATTGTATATTCATAAGTGTGACGTAGCAGCCGTGTCCTCTCACCTCTAACTTCCTTCAGCCCTGTTGGTAGTGAACAGACCTGATCTCTGTTCTGACACAACTGGCTCAAATATTCAAAAGTCATCATGGTGGACATGCAGGTCAGGTCTCTGGGGAAGATCTGTTAGAAGTGGACAGAGGATAGATACGAGCAGTTCTCTCACATGTTTGGTTTTTCAGCGTTGTCCTTTAAGGAATTTAAAACAAACAACAACAGATGCTCACGGCTCGGGGGATCTCCTGGTAACTCAGACCCTGGAAGTGACGATGCTGGTCCATGTAGTTCATCACTGTGCCACTCTGTGGTTCCACCCAGCACTCCGTCACGAGGTTTGTCTCCGTGTCCACGTCCACAGCCTCCACCTCAGTGTCGTTGTCATCATCGGTGGAGAAGCTTAAGTCCAGGGATGAAGAAAGAGTTAAGGATTTCTACTGTAACGACTAAGGACGTAGTCAAAGAATTCTTATTTCTGCAGGTGTCTGATGTCAATCACGATACTATATAAAAAGAGTTTTTAACTGATCTTCACTACTGCCGCTCTCACCTGTCCTTTGTTGAGGTAGAGTGAGGCGGGAACAGGATGTACTGAACGATGCAGGAGTGACTCTCTTTGTCCGTGTCTCCTGATGTTGCCTAAAGTAAGACATAACATTCAAGTCAAAAGTCATTCAAATGATCACCAAAAAAGTTTTTATATTTACCAAAAGTGATGCTCAATCTTTTAAAAAAAAAAAAAGTATATTTCTTTTTTTAAGTTGATATCCTGTGTATTTTCACCTTCATTGGCAGCTCAATCACCATGTTTACGATGCCCTCACCACTAGCAGCAAAGTGGAAGCCATCTGACAACCGGATGCTGAGCAGACATGGGATGAAATTTTTATTAGGTCTGCTGCAGTGTAGGGTTTATATTGAAATCTGTTTATATTGTCACTCACTCAGAGAGCATGGAGAGGATGTGAGCAACAGCCTGCATGGACACTGCTGGTCCGTGGCTGTTCTGCACAGCCCACACCCACCGCTGATGCAGGAAGTACCGGGACAGAACAGCCAGGGTGGAGGAGGCAGTTCGATTGGCTGCCACGCTGAGCGGGAAAGCGCTGTTGGAGGGCTGCATGAAGTTCTCCATGTTTAAAATGAAAGGAGTCCTGAAGTCCAGCGGGAGCTTCTCATACCTGCAAATCATCCACAGTACGTGATATTTTAATGCATAATGTTTTTTTAATTTCTTATTTTACCAGTACCAGGGGGCGCTGCAGAAAGGTTTGGGAACCACTGTTCTAATGCTATAGCTGTAGGTTCCTTTTAACAAGACAGAAACGACAACAGTCTGGTCTGGTTTTTTTAATCAGTTTTCATTCTCTCACCTTATAAGCAGCTTCTCCAGGGGCTTGTTGAAGACCACCACACAGGGTCTATCAGACAGTGCAGGTTTCGGCGCAGGGATGGAAGGAGATTTGGTGGGAGACATGTGGCCCACAGATTTCCTCTTGGTTTTTGGAGTGGCTTCTTTGTTTTGAACCCGATGAGGGAAGCGCAGTTTGAGGATCTGATCTCGGAGCTCGTCCACGATCTGATTACAAGTATCACAAGTTTCACTGTGACGTGCTGCCGTTTATATGTGGTACAATTTTGCATATAATAGAAAAATCTGTCCTAAAACTTGGAAGTGGATGGAAAAATTAGGCATATGTCATTGTAAGGCGTAACACTAGTGGTGCATTCACTGGCCTGAGAAAAAGTCAGATTATAACACCCAAAGAAATTCATTTTTGATAAGTTCAACCTCTAATTTCCTTGTGTTTTAATTATTCATCCATTAAGTGACAAATACAGAACAAACATACACACGTAGGGTGGATGTGTTAAATGGTGGAGGTGCAAACAGCAATAAAATGTGTTGATCAAGTCAGTACCTTGTTTCTGACATGGGCTGGTGTTCCGATAGGGAAGCCCAGGCGCAGAACCATGCAGGGCGTCTTGGAGATGAGACGGACCAAATAGAAGGAGGTCGGGGGCTGGTCAGATGAACTGTGGAGGAAATCATTGGTTCAGTAGAGGTTCAGTTCTTTGTCTACATTTAAACTGATTCCCATACTAATTTCAGCAGACGGACAGCGAACGTGACATCACACTGCTGTTCTTGTTGCCATTACCTGTATATGAGTTTGACATAGGAGTAGCCCTCCACCAACACAAAGCTGCTCCAGTCCTTCAGCAGTGACGTGAGAGCAGAGTGAGAGATTCGACACTGGATGGTGCTGTAACGGCCATTATTTCCAGCTGTGTGCAGGTGTTTTGGCACCGGCCTGGAAAAAAACAAAAAAAATAAATAAACATGGGATAATGTTAAATTATATACAGCTTCATCATTTCAGGGTCAGAGACTGACCTCCATTCACACGGCCATCCAGCCCTATAATTAACTCAGTAAGTCGACAACTAACTTACGGTAATGCTGCATGTTTATAGACAACATATGAAATATTTTGTATAAAATCCTTTAAATTTCAATTTTACAAACTGTAAGTGTAATTAAACTAAGGACCCACTGAATTACTACACATTTATGGTCAAGAACACTCTGCAAATGTCCATGGTCTCTTACAGGTCATGTTCCAGAATGACGGTGAGGCGATGCATGTGTAGCCATCTCTGCCAGAAGTTTGCATCCATGGAGAGGATGGGCTTCCAGTAGGAGGCGAACTGAGATTGTGGAGAGTCTTTGGATCCACTGTGCTGCAGGGACAGGACCTGAAGAGACAGCGGACGATGTCACTGAAAGAGTTTTCACCTTGAGGTCAGAATGGAGGAAAACAGAGCAGATATTCTTCTGTTTCACTGGCACTGTGGCTATTTGGAGGTTGGAATCTCTCTCTGTCAGCAACTCCTGTGAAATATTATCTGGGTCTCTGACTTTCTGCTCTTTCCGTTATAACATTTTTCACATGGTTTCTAGAATTATTCTCCACAATATTTTCAGCTACTTTAACGTGACAGTCAAAGGTGTAACACAGAATTATTTGGACCAATTATACAACAGACTTTAAGTACCATCAAATAACAACCACCAAAAGCAGACAGGGTCATATGGACCCCACAGGACCAAAGATGCCGAGGGACATGATGAGGGATGAGAGGTCTAAGGTGTTGGCAATAACTCTGTTACGGTCATGGTGCATTTAGTACCGGTGTTGTAGAGCCAGGCGGGATATAAAAGAGAGGAACTCCATTTTTGGTGCTCTCAGGAATTGTGTAGTTCTCAGGAATTGAGTTGAAGGCCTGAAGGTGAACCAGCATCTGGTCGGTCTGGTTGATGCTGGAAAGAGAAAAAAAATCACTGAATTAAATCACTGATCAAATATTTTTATTATTATTATTTATTATTCTTTTATTATAGTTTATATGACATGCTGCTGCACCTCTGCAGCGTGTTCCAGAAACGTCGGATGACAGTAGTGCGGTACGGGCTGGTGATGGGCTTCCTTTGAGTGCAGCTGATGTCATGCAGGATGTCATAGCTCCCCTCCATGGTCACCTCCACCCTGGTGGTCCTCTTGGCAGGGTCCAGCGGCCAGGCGGCAGCCGCCAGGTATTCTATGTGCATGTTGTGTTTCCAGAGGAGAACCAGTTTCACCTCCAGCTGAGTCCCACCTGAGGAGGAAAAACAAAAAAATTAAAAAGTTCAGAGAAAGGAAGGTTTTTTTTCTCTCACTTTGTCTGTCTCTAAATAACAGTTGACCTTTGCTCTCTCTCTCTCTGTCTCTAAATAACAGTTGACCTTTGGTGAGACTGATCTCTCTGATGGTGTAGCCCTCTCGTAACCGCACGGACACCACACTGATCAGATGAGCGTGGACCTCCTTCTCCGTGTGCTTCTTCCTCCTTATGACCAGTGATGGGTTTCCACTGGCTGACACCAGGTGCTCATTAAACAGTTTGTGTTGAGAAACTACAGGACAATGAAGTGGAGTTGTGTTAATGAAGTAACATCACGTTTTTGTAGCAGTTTTTTCAAAAATTAAAATGGCTTTTTGAAGTACTAAATTATAAGAAAAGTACATTTTTACCCAAAAAAAATCTAACAGTCCTACTCAGAGGACCCATCTCACCACAGTAGTACTCAGAATTCATCAACTCCGGGGTCTTAAGAAAGGAATAGGTCAAGAAGGCCTTGTGGTAGGCGTTCATCTCCTGGCTGCTGGTGTCTACCTCAGGGCAGCTCGGCAGGTACGAGCCAAACGTGGCCAATGAGATGAACTTCATCAGTTCCACGTTGGGGATGTATCCAAAGCTGCAGTCGTAGGAGTACGCACCTCCAACCTGCAAGATTAAAAAAAGAACTCATCGATGTCTACAGCAGTGATGCTGCTGCTGTCACACAGTAAATCATGTCACATAAATATTATGTGACTGCATTTACCTGCACAAAGGAGCAGGCGATGGTTCCACTCCTGAGCTGGTTCACACAGCCACATCAGGGACACTGGTCACTCCATCAGTTATAATGATGATGCCTGAAACACACGCGCAGACCTTAACTGACAACCACAGAGTCAGACCTACAGATAAGAAGTTGTTTTTTTGTAAGTTCTCAGGAAAAAACAAACAAACCTGCGCTGGAATTTGGAGGCAGCAGCTGCAGAGCCAGGATGCCCTGACGGACCATGCTGACCAGACCCATGTCAGCTGACACCATGGAAAACGGTTTTCTGGAGGCCAACCCGTCTATGGTGTTGTTTTGTAGACCTGAGTTCTGGACTGGCTCCACATACTGAAGACAAACGGATTACTAGGTCATAACAAGGTCATTAAATATTAGGGAAACATCTATTATTATAGTTGTATGTATTATAAACAAATATATAACTGATAGAGGAGGTGACTGCAGTATTTTAACATTCCTCAAACAGACATCGTTGAAAAACAATGTGTCTCTTTAACAAACATTAGCTTTTAGTTCTGCTAAGAATTTGACTTCTGTCTAAATAACAAACAACTACACCATATACAGTAGGTGTAAAACACGGCATGTTGTCAGTTGGACAATTTACTTCTTTAGTCTGAAAACAAACCCAGGTGTCAGGGTGTTCATCTTTCATTCTGTCACATGAATCAGTGGTCTGTAATGTGAGTCTGATGCAGACAGTCTGTCTGTTGTTTCAGGACAAGGCTTTAGGCACAGGAAAAATAATAAGAATAAAAATAATAAAAAATAAAAATGAAAACAAGAAGAATAGAAAGAAAGAGAAGAAGAGAAGAAAAACCAAGACAGAGTTAAAATAAAACGGCAGAGAAAAAAAGCACAAGAAGAAGAAGAATCTTGACAATGTGTATAATCTGATGTATTAATCCCTGGATATTTCTCGGTGAACAGTCAGTGCAGCTGTGTCCTTACCTGTTGGTGCTGCTGATGCAGGACTTCTGCGATGTTACTCTCCACAGCTCGGAGCTGCTGATAGATGCGATGCAGGAAGTTGTTCAGGTCAGTTCTGTCCAGCAGACAGCCCTGGACCAGGACCTGGAGAGGAAACAAAAGTTAATGTGAGGCCTAATGTCATGTATTATTAACTTAAGAAACAACAATAATGCAGTCATGTGATCAAAGAGAAATCCTAGGTGAACCACCATCTCTTCACCTGGTGAGTTGAGAGGCCGATGATTGATGAATACGCCAAAATGGTGATGAAGATCTTGGGCTTGAAAAGCTCATCGGTTCCAGGGACAATAAATGGTTGGGCCAGACCAGCCAGACATCGGGACAAGGCATAAAAAACCTCATCAAAGATCATGGCTCCTGTGCTGTCATCCTGCAGACACAACACAGGTACCGATGAATTCTGACAGATGGGTATTCTTTACAGTACTACAGTCAGTGCTACAGTGGAATAAGCAGGAATTAAAATCTACTCATTCTTCTTTTCAACATCCTTTAAATAAAGATCTGCAACCTGTGGCTCATTCAGCCTCTCTGCACTGGCACCCTGTAATGTACCAAATGTATTCTGACTGTGATAGATACCAGAATTATATTTTCAACTTTTCAAGGATAAATCAATGGTATATTTGATTGTCTGCTAGCTTGCTAACAGTAAAACAACATAATGTTACTGTCCTTTTCCTCAAGAGGAGACAGGTGTGCATATTGTATGCAGTGGAAAGAATGTTGACTTCAGGTCGTATGTGAGAGCAGTGAGCGTAAGAACTAAAATGCAGTTGTGTTGGACCTAATCAATCGACACCAGCATGTAGAATTTAGAAACTGTTTCTTACCACAATCCCTGTGGAAGGACTCAGGTCCAGCTCGATGACAAAGCGGTACCTGCGGGCCAGGAATGTGGCACGAGTGGAGGGCATCAACATACATGGATATGTAGCAGGAGAAAAGTCCTGTCGCCATCCTTTAGGAAGAATGCTCAACAAATCCAGTTCGTTGCCTGAGTTCAGCTGAGAAAGACAACATCACAACAAGGCCATTGATCGGAGATTAGAGACATGTTTGCAGAAGGGCCGATGGTGGAACGTTACAGTTAATGGATAGAATATAAAACAGAAAATGTAAAACCCATGAATGTGCATAAAATAATAACACATTATGAAACAAAGCATTTTTAGGCAGCACTATAGGTGCAATGACTGCAGCATAGTTTTTAGCAAAGAAAACCAATTGGAAAAATCTAACTCACCAATTCAGGTTTGGAGGTGGGCCAGATAACTTGGTTAAGTTTACCCAGGAACCATGCTAGACGTACATTCCTGGAGATCCGATACTCCTCCTTCATCAGCAGGTAGATCTGATCAGCCTCCTCCACCTCATGAAAAAGAAGGTGGCTTTAAAACATCTTATCCACTGTCACGTCACGGGGCATAAGGGGGAAGTTTAATTTGACTTTACTTGAAAACCCGCACACTTCCTTTAAATGCATTGATTTCATGCCTTCTGCATCAACAACAGACACACGGAAACTCTGCGAACTTTATTTTAACCAACAAACAAACAAACACAAACGCACGATTGCAGACTTAACTTGCAATCACAGCTCAGCAGCTAACGGGCTGCTGAGCTAACAAAGTGCTACAACAACTTTTAATACGTGCGCACCTGTCAGACAAGCACTTATTACAGACTGAATTTATTCTCGATAGACTTTAAACTAAACTTCCATGAGTTTGGACTCTCAGCACGTGTGAGTAAACACAAAATGGGGACAGTCACTTTCCCCTCTCTATCCTTCTCCCTGCCTTTTCCTCCCTGTCCACCAGCGAATCCCATAGTGTTTTTAATGTATTCACACAATGAAGCCAACATTTTACCTCATTGTCCTGTTTCTCTGCCATGCCTTGTGGAGCATACGTGCTGCATGGATGTTACCGAGTCTCAGATGACAAAGGTTTCTCCTTCAATGAGCAAAATAACCTCTTCTGGTATTTGTTTATCATCTGTGCTTTGCCCCAGCACACACACACACACAGGCACACACCGCTCTCGGAGTCTCGCAGGCAGTGACAGACTGTACACTTCCTGTTATGGTTTTCAAAGTAAAACTCCATGCAATCTGGGAGTTGGATTTTGTTTTATTAGAGCCATATATTTTGTTTTCAGACTTTAGGTCTCTACCTATCTAAGTAATTGTCGTTTAATAGGGTCAAAGCAATATAAATAACTAAATATATTATAGCTAGATACCATTGTTATGAAGTCAATATCAGTTAACTTCCGTTAATTTGTTTTTCTGACCCGCATGTGACCAGGAAGTATCGTTTCTCCTTTAAAACTATCTCATTTATTTTTTCTTTGTGGAAATATTGAACATAAAATAAAAATAGTACACTAGTATACTACCGAAACTTATACATGTTAAAGAATATGACTTAAAAATAGTCAAATTTTAAAAACGTTTGTGAAATGCAAAATATTAAAAATACATAATTTAAAATTATTTGATACAATAATATACTCATTTCACTTATGTTTCCAGTTTAGTTATTTTTTTGTAAATTAATTTGTAAAAACTAATTCTCAAAACACCGTCGTCTGATTGTGACGTCATGAGAAAGCGACAGCTGTCCTTCCACGCCGTTGGCTGAATATTAAAGATTGCGTTTTTCCTAACCGTCTTCTAGCTCTTGTTTTGTCAAAACGAGGCGAACTGGTATTTTAGTTCACGTATAGTACAGTCAACAGTTGTTCTGTCTCTGACTGGCAGCCCGGACTTCGTTAATTCAGCTTTTTTTTTTATCCCACATGTGTTTACTGTACTTAGCTGTGTGAGGTTTAAACCATGGAGACCAAGCGCCTAGACTCTGCTGTTGCGAAAACCAAGAAGAAAAACAAGTCAGCGAAAATGGAACATGGCACCGATCCGGTGAAAAACTTTGAAAAATGGAAGAAAAAATACGGAAAGACCAAATTGAGAGTTAAGCATGAGAGGGCGGCCCAGAAAAAACCCGAGTGGCAGGTAGAACGGGAGTACATTCAAAAGTTGGTCAAAAGGTACGCAGACATCAACTGCAAAGAAGCAATCAAGTTTTCAGACTTTCCCATTTCCAAGAAAACGCTGCTGGGACTGCAGGAGGCTCAGTACAGACAGCCCACTGAGATCCAGAGGCAGACCATTGGATTTGCTCTGCAGGGTAAGGATGTTCTGGGTGCAGCGAAAACCGGTTCTGGAAAGACTCTAGCTTTCCTCATACCTGTCCTGGAGTGTCTGTACAGGCAGCAGTGGAGCTCCATGGACGGCCTCGGTGCTCTCATCATATCCCCCACCAGGGAACTTGCATACCAGACATTTGAAGTTCTCCGTAAGATAGGCAAGAACCACGAGTTCTCTGCTGGACTCATCATTGGTGGCAAGGAGTTGAAAGGTGAGGTGGAAAGAATCCATCGCACCAACATTGTCATCTGTACCCCGGGCAGACTGCTCCAGCACATGGATGAAACCGCAACCTTTCACACATCTGACCTGCACATGCTGGTCCTGGATGAGGCTGACCGCATTCTGGACATGGGCTTTGCAGATACACTGAATGCCATCGTGGAGAACCTGCCCAAGAAAAGGCAGACACTGTTGTTCTCTGCAACACAAACCAAGTCAGTCAAAGACCTGGCCAGGCTGAGTCTGAAAGATCCAGAGTACGTGTGGGTCCATGAAAAGGCAAAGTTTAGTACACCAGCCACCCTGGAACAGAGCTACATAGTGTGCGAGCTCCACCAGAAGGTCAACCTGCTGTTCTCCTTCATCAGAAGTCACCTAAAGAAGAAGGTTATTGTATTTTTTGCATGCTGCAAAGAAGTGCAGTACCTGTTCCGCGTCTTCTGTCGCCTCCGACCTGGAATGCCCCTCCTGGCTTTGCATGGGAAGCAGCAACAGATGAAGAGGGTGGAGGTCTACAATGACTTTCTGAAAAAGCCAAATGCAGTACTTTTTGCCACTGACATTGCAGCCAGAGGTTTGGATTTCCCCGCTGTCAACTGGGTGCTGCAGTTCGACTGCCCCGAGGACGCGGACACCTACATCCACCGAGTTGGTCGGACCGCCCGATACAAGGAGGGTGGAGAAGCCCTGCTGCTGCTCCTGCCCTCTGAGGAGAAAGGCATGTTGGCCCAGCTGCAGGATAAGAAGGTTCCCATCAATAAGATCCAGGTGAGACTCACGGACACACAGACAGTTAAATCAAAGAAACCTTTATCAGCAGTGGGTGTGTGACTGTTCCAATTGTTCTTTGTTTCTAATTTAAGGTGAATCCAGAAAAGCTGCAGAATGTCCAGCAGAAGCTGGAGTCCTTCCTAGCCCAGGAAAAGGAGCAGAAAGACAGAGCCCAGAGGTGTTTTGTCTCCTACCTCCGCTCCATCTACCTGATGAAGAACAAAGACGTTTTTGACGTCTTTAAATTGCAGATTCACGAGTATGCGCTTTCCCTTGGCCTCGCTGTGGCGCCGAGAGTGCGTTTCTTGAGTAAAGCTCAGGCACAGAGGACTGAGAGACCTGGGCCCAAAGAGGAGCAGCATTCTGATGAAGAGGAGGAGCTGAGGAGCTTTAAGGCACAGCTCAAAGGAAACGTTTCCCCTGGGGAAAGTGAGAGTTCAGAGTCTGAAGACTCAGAAGCAGATGAGGAAAGTGACGTTGACCAGCAGAAGACGCTGGGACTGGGCGCAGATGACGACAGTGAGGATGATGATCTGAGAGACCTGGATCTGCTGACGGTCAAAACGAAGGATGTCTTCAGCATCACACAAGGCGAGCAGGACCAGGAGGAGCCTGCTGAGGAGACCAAAAAGGAAAAGACCGTCACAAAGTACACAGAAGCCAAAAAGGTCATTAAGAAAAAGTTCAAAGTTAACACCAAAGTGACTTTTAATGAGGAAGGTGAGGCAGTACAGCTGTGGCCACAGGTCCAACGGGCAGCCACTGGTGAAGAGGAGGAGGAGGAAGAGGATGTTTCAGGTATCAACCTGGAAAAGGCCAAGGAGAGATTGAAACGGGAAGACAAGGAGTTTGACAAACAGGAGTACAGCCGTAAAGTGAAAGCCAAACACAGAGAGAAGAGGCTGAAGGCCAAGGCGGCAAGACGGGAGGCCGGGAGGCAGCGTGGGGAACAGTCTGATGAAGAGGACGAGGTGCTGGCCTACTTGGCCAATAACAGTGAGGATGAGTTTGACCCCAGCACTCTACCAGATCCTGATAAAGTGGACAAAGAGGATGATGATAGTTCCAGTGATGATGGCAACGATCATCAGATCAGACCAGTGAAAAGGCAGCAGAGCAGTGATGAGGAGGATGAGGAAGAGGAACTCACAGCAGGAAAAAGGAAGAAGTTGAGGAAAGAGAATGAAGAGCACAAACCTCTGGACACTGGTCTTTCTCTGGCTGAGGACGAGGAGTTAGTGTTGCGTCTGCTAGGACAGTAGATCTCTGCTGCTGCTGCTTCATTTGTTTCACTTAAATCATACGATATAACAACTGACTGTGAATAAAAACTAGAAATACATCTTGCTGATTGTTCATTTATTCCAATGTCCTTTTCCATCCGTTCACCTCAGAGCTCTGGTGGTTTTATAGCTTTTTCACAGTACGGCTCTGTCTTTTACTGCCAATGAAATTCCTCAATATTTTCTCCAGAATAGAGTAATTCTATAATAGAAATGAACTTTAAATACATTGTCTTTTGAACTTGTGTTTGTAAAAACTCTAAATAAACACTGTATTGACAACTGAATCAACAGTCTTGTTTCTATGTTTTTATTTAGTATTGTTTGATAATAAAAAATATATTAGAATCTGTATTGCTTTTACATTGAGCAGCTCAAAATATGGTATAAATCTAAAATTACTGCAGTGTACAGTATTTTGTAAGGTCAGAAACTACAAAACAATTAAAACACTGCCAAATTCCACATTATATTACAAAAAGGTGTGAGTAATAACTTTAAAAAAAACAATTAGATGGAGTAAAAAATACACGGGAATGGATCAGAGATTACCACTTTCAAAGTCAAAACAATTTCGTGTTTCCAGCAGATGGCGTACAGTGACAATAAAACGAACTTAGGCTTCTCACTCATCTGTACTTCCTGTAAAATTGTTCGATAACAGCTTGTTATAGTACTGATTAAGGCTAATCGTAAAAGCAATTATTATTCAAGTTAAAATCGTAGTTTTATTTATTGATTGATTGATTTCCTGCTGTCACAAAATCTCTTACAGGACATAACAAACGTCTGCCTTAGGGAGTTCAGTATATGTTGGTTAAAAAGCTTACATTTAAATCTAAAAAAAAAAAACTAAAATAGAATTTAATTACATTATGTGACAACATACATTCGGTTAAAAGTTGTTTTAAAAAAATAAAGTAGCTTTGGCGCCCACTACTGGTAGATGGCAACTAGGTTGAGTTGAGAAACTATAAATCCAGTGACTTGTCACCGTGAGAACGTCACCTTTTCGTGCGTAAATTGTACTGACAACGCGTATTTGAACAAAATAGCACTCACATATTCCCGGTCCGACCGTGTTTCCTGTGGCCTTTCAACTCAGCAGGTGAGTGTAGAAGAGCTGCAAATGTTTAGACGTGCCTCCATCAACAATGTTATTATTTTTTAAAGTGTCTTCTAATTGCAAACGGATTTAAAAGTATCGATGGAACGGGTACCTAAGCTCCTTAGAGTTATATGATGACGTCAATCGTCTTGTTAAACGTTGTCCTGAAAGCCGTGACGCACCTAAAGTGTCCTTATTGCGCAAAAGTAACTCGCACAAATCACACAAAAAATGTTTTTTTTTTAACTGATTTATTTAAAGGGACATGAGAATTCCTTACTAACAAGCTTCACCTGTACCTTTTCATGCCACTTATTACGACGTCATTGTTCATGAAAAAAAATCAGAGCTCACTTTTTAATTTACGTCATATCAGTGCGACCTAATTGATGGCGTTGATTGTGATAGGAACTATTTAATGTAGATAACACTCACGTTTCTTGTTGTTTTTCTACTCATTTTTGGCACTTAAGGTTAAAATAACTTTATATATATTTATTTTCTAATAGATGCTAATTAAATGTTGTTTCAAATGTAATATAAATTGTAATTTTATCAGTGTTTGCACACCAATGTAAAATAAACCTTTGGTCAGACCAGTTGAGTTTGAATTTACTTTAAATAAAAAACAAACAAACACTTGACCATGTTTCAGAGTCTAACCCTGGGCTCAGTAGTCACGGTACAGACCTGGTTCCTACGGTTATAATCTAGATTGTTGTATTGGTTTATATCGGTACATACTCCCTACCTGCTGTGGTCATCTCCAGATTTTTTTTCTTGTTTTTTTTACCAATTAGACCAAACAAAAAAATTGCAAGCTGCACCTTTTCCTTCAGTGATGTTCACATTTGCACATTTACACAGGACTAATTAATTAATGGCTGCAAATAAGCTATTAAATGGAGCCCAGAAGTTGCCGGAGCAAAATGGGGAGGTGAAAACATCACATGTCCCGGTCACGATTGCAGCCATCGCTGCTCCACAGCCCACAGCTGCAGCTGCCTCTAATGTCGACCCTGTAGCTGCCACAGTTCAAGTGGCAGTCCCGCGGCCTCAGACATCCTCCTCCCAGGTCGTTGTGGTAGCAAAGGTGACCACCTCAGGAGTGGTCAGTGCTAACAGCCAACTACAGGTAACAAAACCAGCTCTGAGCCAGGTGACCAGCATAAACCAGGCCACAGTGCCGGGAAGGACGGTTGTGATAACTGTACCCAGGCCAGCAGCTCCACAGCCGGTCACTGTAGCCCCACGACTGCCACAGACCTCTTCCCTTCCAGCTAACATCCAGATACCGTCAGGTGAGCTCAACAACTTCATGTACTCAGCAGGTAGACCTGGACTGACAGGTCAGAGCAAGCTGCTATGTCTGTCTTGCATTCTTACTTATTTGTAATGATGGATTTACATGCAGCACTTCACTGTAAACAGCAATGTTGCAGGTATGATGCTGGTCCGCAGTGACAGCGGGCAGCTGATGCTCGTATCCCAGCAGGCATTGGCA